CCCCCCCCTCTCTAACAAACCAAGGCTCCTTCTATTCTGGGGAGCAGCAGCCCGGTTCCTTCTCGACCCGCAAGACAAGCGAATATAAGTTATATGCGTCCGGTTCCTCAGGTTGAGACAGAGGCAAATCATTTTCCACATCCAAACATTGATTTGCTGGAATTGATGACAGGGGTGACAGACCTGGGCTAGAGATGGACAGCGCGGTACTATGAGACCCTTGTCTCAGTTCCTGGATCATCTTTCCCCCCCATCCCCTTTCTCTAACCGAGATTTTCAATTGATACATTCTCCGCCCATTGGCCATGCGTCTTCCCCGGCGCCCCCCGGGGTAGTACAGGGCTTGGCGGTGTTTTGGGACTCTTCAAGTCTGAGGGCAACCCAGCGGTCAGAAGTCAGCAGTGAAAAGGACCGCAGCGGCAGGATGGTGAATTTGGCAGGCCTTCGGGAGCATAGGCTTTTGCGGATAGAGGAAGACTAGCATTTAAAGATAGAAATCTGGCGTCCGGGTTCGGGATGAAGAGGCTTCCCTATCTACGGGGGCCTGCTCAGTCAATCCTCTGGCCTCCAGAGTAATCAATGCTGGCAGGTTCCTCTCGTTTCAACACCCTGATTCTTTTCTGCATGAATCACACTGCTGCTTTCAGAAGGGGCGAAGGGGGGCTAGGTGATCAGCAGTCGTTAGGCGGCCCACAGCAGGGCTGAAGAGGCCTCCCTCCCCTCAAATTCTTTGTTTTTCCTCTCACCATCTGCTCAGTCAATCCCCTCGACTCCAGGGTAATCAATGCTGGCAGGTGGACGGTACTCTCAGACTCTCAGTGTACAAAGGGACGCTGGACCCGTTTTCCACCAGGTGTACCTCCCCACCAATAGACTGGAGCGACCAGGAAGCCAGCTAGGAGGGGGTGCTCTTATCACCTCTCCTAGCTGAGCGACTGGCTCTGAAAAATAATAATAATAATAATAATAAAATTGCAGATGAATTGTAGGCTGAACTTCGCGGCTCCTCCCCCTCATCGAGGAGAGGCAGGGAATGGGCAGAGAACATAGAAAGGAGGTGGTGGCATACGGTAGCCACGTGGCTATTCTTAACAACTGGGAGAAGAGAGCAGGGCCACATGTGGTAGGGGCATGTATAGCACTAGAAATGCTGGAGGAGGAAGAGGGGTAGGAGTGCGCACACACACACACACATATACTCAGACTCTGATGCTGCTGAATGAGAAGACACCCTGCGCAGATTACCATAGCGAAAACAAGCAAGAATGCAAACATGTGTCCACAGACCCTTGCACACACTCACACACACACACACACACAAGAGAGAGAGAGAGAGAGAGAGAGAGAGAGAGAGGGTGCTCGGGAGGCTCGCCGCAGAGTTGGAAACAAATATAGGGAAGAGAGCATGGTATAGACACTTTAGAGTTAGGTTTCATAAGGAATCCATCCATGTCTGAAAGCATCTCAGCATCTCGGCAAACCTAACGCTGTCATCAACATCAACCGAGCCCCATGCCGCTGTGGCCACACCCATACCTACACCTAAACGAGGTTGTCATCAGTACCTAACTAAGAAAAATCACCCTCGCATGAAGATGTGCGCCCCCAGTCTCGACGACAGAGCACCATCAAACACCCCTGCACGTACCACAATGATGTGTGTATAGTCGAAGCCGTCATTATCATCAGGGTTCTCCATCCCGCCAGCAATAGGTTCATTCGAGTTCCATAACGATGAGCCCCAGCCTGAAAGTTTTCTCAGTAGTATTCCATTAGTGCAAAGCATTATCGACGACTGTGGACCGCCCTTCTTCTCCAAACGAATCTGTCAGCATAAGAAACAGAATCACGTTTAACTTTAGCCACATGTACTCTGGGATGGACGAACGGCATCGTTTCCACACCCTCAGCATCGTAAACATGTGAAAATCGAGCATCACACCACAATACAAATGCAATCTGAAGGCAAAACCAGACGCGATCATCATCTCTCTTTTTTTTTGTCTTTCTTTTTTGTGATGATCTAAAAAGATTGTGCACCATTGATTGTTCAATACCATCGATACACCGTCAGCCATGTCACAAGAACCGACAATTGTCACTGAACTTCTTTTTCTTTTTTTTTCTTTTTTGGACCATTTCACGGTTGAAGTGTGTCATCCTTGTGCAGGGGCCATGCTAATCTATCGTCACTGTATCGTTCCAATTCTAACGGATGTCCCAAAGGACAATTGGTACTATACTTAATCATTCGCATCGGGGAGTTGTGATCAGCACTTGGTCTGTTGCTAGAACGAGGCTCCCCCCCCCCTTCTCTCTCTCTCTCTCTCTCTCTCTCTCTCTCTCTCTCTCTCTCTCTCTCTCTCTCTCT